AAGAAACGTCGATTGGAAAAGGCAAATGTTTTTTACTTTCTCGTATATACGAAGTATAGAGAAAGTATTGTAATCGTGCAAAAAAAAATCGAGATTTTTACAGATCTCGACGTTTTACACCTCACTGATACGGAAAAACATAATTTTGCAATCTTGTCCGTATGTCTGTGTGTGTGTGTGTGTGTGTGTCTGTCTGTGTGTCCGTGTGTAAACACGATAACTTGAGTACCGTTACAGCTAGGTTCATGAAATTTCATATATAAGTATTATATCAAAATCGTAGATCCGTATCAACTTTTGAGCGATTTCCGATAACCGGAAGTGGTACTTTTCCTACTTTGAATTTTTCAAAAGCCTATAACTTGAGTACTATTTCAGATAGATAAATGACATTTCACATGTAAGTAAAAGATCTAATTCTCTACCTTCTGTTAAATTTTGAGTAATTTCCGTTGACTGGAAGTAGTAATTTACGCTACTTCCGATTTCTCAAAAAACTAATGTAAATTTTAAAAGTACTAATAATATTGCGCACTATTATGCGCTTTTTTATTGGGCGTTCACTTGTTTACGAGTTGTCTTCGTTTACCCAAAAAAAAAGTGAATGCGAGAAGATAAAATCGATAGCAAGATTTGAATGCAAACAAGCAGACAAAGACTTAAAAGTAGAAAATAATTATCATTAAAAAAGTTTTTAAAAACCCACGTGATTTTCTTACAGTTTTTAATACTGTTGACAAGCTCCCTAATAAAACTCAATAGTATTAATTAATCAATAGTAATATAACTTTTACATCTTATATTAACAATGACCGATAAAAAAACTTTTACTTCGGCGCCCCACGTTTTTCATTTTTTGTCATAATGCGCACGCAGTTTGCGATCGCTTATAGTAGAGTGATCGCTTGCATTATTGCGATGTATAGCATTTATTTTCTACTTTTTAGTTCAATCAGAAAACGTGGGTTTTTAAAAACTTTTTTAATGATAATTATTTACTATTATCTATATGGTTGTAATTTTCCATCAACTTGAGTTGTCTTTAATGATTATCTCTCATTACTATATCCCACAACATTGTTCTATCCGACACATGTAACTCTAGTAATGTTGTTTATGTTAAGACAAGGCGAGCGCATGTGTACGCGCTGGAATCCCAAGATATTATAAAGTTGTGTACATTCGATACGTATTACAAAAATGTATAAGTAAAGCAACACTTATTACACACAAAAAATCTGTAATAAATCTATTGATACTCTTATGGATTATTATTGTTATTATTTTAATATCAGTTGTGCTGTATTCACAATAGAGGGGTGGCTCAGACCCTTACGGTTTGAATTATATATATTGTAACACAGTACAATTTAATTTTACCGTTTACATGTTTCATTTTATGTCTGCCGTAATGCTTCCAATAATCAAGGTGGTCGAAAGTATAAAAATATGTAAGCTTTGTAAGTGTATTGGATTTTCCCGTTATGTTTATTTTTTAAATTTGTTTTGTAATTATATTATTAATTTTAAATACATTTCCTTTTTATACTATGCCATTCTTTATTAAGTATTTTTAGGAAAATAAAAATTTAGAGAAAAAATTGCTTTTTAATGTTTTAAGTACAATTTTTTTTAAATAAGTTTTTGAGAATCTCTATTTGACTATTTAAAAAGGGAAATAAGTCATGGAAGTGGTTTGAACGGTTGTCTATCTTTCACACCACAGCTCATGTATATATTAGTTTCTTCTTTTACGCAACTGTAGAACATCACTACTGAAGTGAATGTATATATATATATATATATATATATATATATATATTGATCATTTGTAGAATACAGGATAGTACAAAATAGTAGTTCTACCAATACAACAAACGTTCATTTTACATTGTAAAATCACAATGAATTTTGGACCCCTAACCAACGCTATAAAGAAGCAAAAGTCTTAATATCTAGCGGCCTCTCGCGCAATGAACTTTGATTCTTTTTTTCAAAAGAATTTTGCCGACAGCAGCGTGTGTTTGATTGTAGGAGAAAGAGTACTCGGCTTTCGCAATGGTTAAAAAACAAAAGGGAAAAGTATATACACAAATGTGGGATGGTTTTAATAGAATAAAGATAATTCAACCGCAGCTACCATATCTTTGTTACAAAACAACCATCAAGTCAAAAATTTCTAGAAAATTTAATTTTTGTAACTTAAAAAAAAATAATTTTGGTCGGCTGTAGGCCCCCTAAACGGCATGGGCCGCCATTTGGTGTGTGAGCACATATTATAATACATTTTTGTTGAAATTTGGTAATATACAGTTAGCTCGAACAAAATTAAAGCAGTTGGCATATTCGTTGTGTCTCTACTTGATGGTCACAGATAGGTTTTTTACGTCGGTAATTTTTTTAAAATCACAAGCTTCCCTCATTTTCAGGCAAAACGTGCATTCATTTTACACTAACTTTTTATTAGCTCTTTCGATTGGCTTAATAAACCACAAATTACAGCAAAAACAAACGACCTTTTATCTTGACCTATCTATTAGTTTTTAATAATAAAGATCAATCTTTCGTATTAACAGTGTCTAACGTGGACAATCCATATTGATAATACATTAATTGTGCTAACTGAGACCAATCAGTATTGATTGTTATTTGATAAATGCGCAATAGTATTGGTACACCAGACCCATCAAAATGTTGTGTTAAATTGGCACTAAGATATGTTGCTTCTTAAAGGAGAGTTTAAGCAATTGATAAGATTAAACATTGAAAGACTATTCCATAGGTGTTACGACCAAAAACTAGCAAGTTTACAGTGGGATGTTATAAAGTAAACAGAAAATCTCAAAGTTCTTTGTATTTACAGTTGTTGCTGTTCATTTGTAAATTTTCTATTTTTCCAATTTTTTCCTAAGTGTAAAATAAGGTATTTAGAGGACTAAATTAAAAAAAAAACCCGTTTGGTCCAGGTTACCAATTATGATTAGGTCATGTCAGTAAACCAGGCAGAGACCTGTTGACCTATTGAGTGCTAATGGTGGGCAATCAACATTAGACTTGCTATACTGGAGCCATAGAATTCTGAAATGTTATAAAACTACCTGTAATAATGATACTACAGATTTAATAGTGACACTACACCTGTAATGGTGAAACTGCAATGGTGTTACTGCACCTGTAATGGTGACATTGCACGTCTAATGGTGACACTGCACCTGTAATGGTGACACTGCACCTGTAATGGTAATACTGCACCTATAATGGTGATACTACACTAGTAATGATGACACCGCACCCATATTGATATAGCTTTACATGATAAGACGTTATACGCGTCAGAGCCGTTCACTATAATGAACGCGTTATGCATACCTCAAATACCTGTCTTTTATGATGCTGTACCTGTCATAGCAGCACTTTACCTGTCATAGTCAAACTATAACTTTTGAGCAAGTGAAGCGTTGCTCTTCTGCATACAGCAAATATTAATCGACCTTTCATTAGCTGCGGACGGCTGAACATAAGCAAAGAGACTGATTCACTAGTTATCTGTTTGAGCTCACAAGACAAACATACTTAATAAAACACCATCCCCCCTCCCCATCTTTTAAGCTAAGTCATACGTCCCTTCATGACAGAAGGTGCACTTGACGGGGCGAGATGTGACAGAAAGGTGCACTTGACGGGGCGAGATGTGACAGAAAGGTGCACTTGACGGGGCGAGATGTGACAGAAAGGTGCACTTGACAGGGCGAGACGCACTAAAGGATGGGTACCTGCCAAGCTACCTGCGCTGTTTGAAACACTTCCTTTCAGAACGTAATGAGCAAACTTTCGACTCTAAGTACACACGGGACTGTGTACACAGTGGGCTGTATGTACACATTTGGTCTTATGTACATACGGCGCTTTTGATATGGTGCATACATTTATGTCTATTTGACAATATTTAACCGATATTTGACCATGATATATACACACATCGCTTTATATATATATATATAAAAAAAAAATATATATATATATATATATATATATATATATATATATATATATATATATATATATATATATATATATATATATATATATATATATATATATACATTAATAATATATATATATATATATATATATATATATATATATATATATATATATATATATATATATATATATATATATATATATATATATATATATATATATATATATTTATGGGTGTGTGTGTGTGTATGTATGAATCTGTGTATAGCTATTCGGAAACATAGTTTATTTTCACATACGTAACTGTATATTCCTATAAAAGTTAAAAACCAAAACAAATATTCTCTAGAGTTGCTTACTAAAGTCTCCAAAATGACTAGGTCAAACTGCCCTGTGTTACGGTTTGTATGAGAAATTTATTTTTTTCTGGCTTGCTTTTAGCCAATGGTAACTGTATTTAGTATTTAATATTTGTTTTTAATCTATTACTTAGTTTTTTCCTTATTCTACCTATCGAACTGAACAATAAGAATACGTTAGTTAAATCTTTGTTTACCAAGCTAACTCATAAAATTTACTTAGACTTACCCCCCACATTCTTGACTATCTCAAAAGTGTAACTTGTAGTGGCTTAAACGAAACGAAACCTCCTATGCAAATACGAGTTATTGACTCATTAATTTAAGCTATTTGCTCACCTGTATAATTGTGTTATCAATAAAAACACTAAGATTTCAGCCGAGCTAAATATGGACTTGTTGGAATTCACGATTTTATACATAGTTCAGTACTTAGAATTGTTAACACTAATTTAGTTAGTGTCCTACCATTCTAGAAAAAAAAATATTTTCAAAAATATTCAAGAAAATCATTCTACAAGAATGATCTTTAAATATTTCGTAAAATCATTAAATTATCATTTCTATACAGATATTGCCAAGCCTACAAGTGCCATATTTGAAAGCAACATTATTCATACATCCTGATTCAAATAAATCAAAGTAATAAACACAACGTTTAAATGAAATATTTTTCATTTTAATTTTGTTCTCTTGATAATAAAATAAAACCGACACATCGGATATTCCAATTTTTTATACCATTGACGTCATTCCTCACCGCTGTTCAACAACAACAACACTCACTTCAAACAACATTTCATGGCACATCAGCTTAGAGTTTGGTTGACATCTCCTGACTGTAAATATTTCTCATGGGAAGGTTTGGGTTAATAAGTTAGAAGTTAGTTACAAAGGTTTTAGGCTTGAAGTAGATACTGGGATTTATCGGAGGACAGTGTTGATGTCTTTGCAGTTCTGATAGACGGCAAACTGAAATGAGAGTATGGAAGTAATTAATGTGTTTTATCGAGATTTAGTTCATCTTTCTAGACCTAACTTCGTAAAAGCTGCTGTTTATTTGTAAGACTATTCATTACAAGCTGTAAAAACATGAGACAGTTAAAGAATAGTGCAACAAGGTAATTATTTTACCGTTAATAAATTATAAAATGTCAAAACCAATGGACACTAGCGTTAACACATAAATAAAATAACAATAAAACTTACGTCATCGATGATGCCAATGAAGTGGTTGTTGGGACCTCTACCGAGCTGGATACCACATTTGTTGACAGCGATACGGGCTGTGGGAGATAGGGCAGTAGAGGTACCATCTCAAGACTCAGCTGTCTTTATACCCACACTCACATACATACACATTTATATATATATATATATATATATATATATATATATATATATATATATATATATATATATATATATATATATATATATCAAGAAAGAGAAAGAGAGTGGGGGGAGATAGAGAAAAAACGAAAAAAAATATTAAGACAACAGAAGTGTGTTCAACTGAATCGACGGAAAAGTACTAGTGTTTAATGAAACAGAAAAAGGCTTATATTTCTAAATGGGTGGAGTGTGGTAGAGAGAGGAGAAATCAAGACAGGGTGTAGTATATAGTATAAGTCAGGTGTGGTTCTCAAGATAAGTTATAGCCGAGATCAGGTGAAACAGGTAGTCAGCTACAGGTGAAGGATGAGGTACCTGTCTCTGATTTGGAGATCCTGTTGAAGTTGGCAGTCTGCGAGACGGTGTTGGAGGAGGTCAAGGAGTTGACCTGTCCGTAGACGGCGGTGCTGCCGAAGATGACGATCAGTTCCATGATTTCGTTGGCGTTCTGTGGACCAACAAGGCATAGGGTGACGTTAATACATGCTGCGTTGTTGTGTTTGTTAGTAAAGCAAATTATGTTCGTCAAAATTAGATTCTTCCAATTTAAGCAACGTTAACTTTCATATACTTGTCATGCTGTTAACCTTCTGCCTACAACATAATTCCCAAACTAACTGTTCTATAGAATTATATATATATATATATATATATATATATATATATATATATATATATATATATATATATAAAATGTATCATAGCTATCATAATAGCGTAGCTTAAATTTTGCATTCAAGGAACTAAAACTCTCAAATATTAGTCAAGGTGTCAATTGTTCTATTCAAGTAACAGAGCTCTCATAAATCTGTTAAAGGGGACAAAAATGTTTTACATCATATTTTTCTGTATTAGGAACAGTAACGCTCATATATCTGTGGAAGTAACTAACACATTTTTCAGTGCTTATTTCTATTCAAGCTACAGTAAGTCTCAAATATCTGTGGAGGTACCTAACATGTTTTTCATGCTTATTTCTATTCAAGCTACAGAAAGTCTCAAATATCAGCACAAGTACTCACCCTTTTGTCCATTAGCGCGGAGGTGGTGATGGTCGTGAGGTCAGTGGTGACAAACATGGCGGTGACGACACGGTTGGTTGATGACGTAGCGGCCACGGAGAAACGGATGGTGTCAGGACACAGGGCGCAGTAGTTGTTGGAGAGGATGTCGTACTCCTTGTTGAACTCGGGGTTCTAGGATAGGAAATAAGCAACGTTAGATGTTGGGTATCGGAAACATGTACAGGGTGATGGTTGGGTACCGGTAATATGTACAGGGTTATGGTTGGGTACCGGAAATATGTACAGGGTGATGGTTGGGTACTGAACTATATACAGTGTGATGGTTGGGTACCAGAAATATGTACAGGGTGATGGTTGGGTAACGGAAATATGTATAGGGTAATGGTTGCGTAACGGAAATATGTACAGTGTGATGGTTGGGTACCGGAAACATGCACAGGGTGATGGTTGGGTACCGGAAATATGTACAGGGTGATGGTTGGGTACCGGAAATATGTATAGGTTGGTGGTCGGGAAACATACACAGGCGATGGTTGAGTACCGGAAATATGCAGAGGGTGAGGGTTGGGTGCCGGAAAAATGTACAGGGTTACAGTTGGTTACATGGAGAGTCAACAACATTAGATGTTTATGTAACAAAATATGTACAGAGTAATAGATGGTTAACTTATTAAGGTTTGTATGTAAAAGTCAATAATAGATTAGAACTTCTAGGTTATATGGCATCATAATAGGGTTTGCACATTCAGTTGTGATTGGGACTAATTAGTACATTGTCTAAGGTAACAGTTTGGATTAAGACAAGAGTATACGTTAGGAATAGGGTTAATATATATGGAACTAGTTAAATGCCCATGTTTTCCTTAAGGACCTACGTGGTCTAGTTGAAGACTGCCAGCCCTAAAGACGCTACGCATAAAACTTACATCCAGTCTGAATCGGATCCTGAAAGCCACATTGAGGCCCATGTCCATGTTGTTGAAGTAATAGTAATAGGTGAAGGGCTTGACCATGCTAGAGGTGAAGGTCAGGGCATCGTTGCTGTAGGCGACCTCCTGGGAGAAGGAGTACACGTCAAGGTCGGCGTTGAGCCTCTCGCTGAAGACTCTCCTGCTGCCTCCGTTGAAGTTGGCGCTGAAGACGGCGTTACAGGTTGATGCTGGATCTAGCGAGAACAACAAGGAACGTGTGATGTTAAGGTTATTATCTGTGTTGGGTAGCTGGTAACCTTTGAAACAAAAGGAAAGGCATGATGTTATATTTATGATTGGTGATGAGTAGCTGTAAAATTTGGAAACAAAAAGTAAGGCGGGATGCTATGTTATGATTTGTGTAGGGAAATGTGAAATATCCACTAATTCCTGTAACAACAACAAAATAGAATATTGAGTAATGAAAATTAAAAATTTTCAATAACTAACTTATAAACATTATATATATATATATATATATATATATATATATATATATATATATATATATATATATATATATATATATATATATATATATATATATATGTGTGTGTGTGTGTGTGTGTGCATGTGTGTGCAACAGTCACTAATTGACCTCTTATCGTGTCTTAATCTCTAAGATATTACAGTAAGTTAATCCTTATTAATCTTTAATCGTCTCAACTCACTTGGGCCCAGGTAGTCTCTGTCGTTCAGTGTGGTTGTGTAGCAACGGTCAGTAGCGGAGAAGTCCAGAGAACATTTGGTTTGGTTCCAGAATGTTCCACGGGCAACTTGCAGAGACTCCCCATTGAACATGAACCTAAGGTAAAATTACACTCGTAACATAGCCGCCTATTAAAGCTTTATTTATGTACATGGAACTATTGGAACATTAATAGCAGTACATGTAGGAGCGTACTTATTCAAACTACTAATTGCGAACATTAAATATCCTATTCATGCAGTTGGTTTTAACATTAACCAATTCACCTCTTGAAATTAAACCTATTTAGACATATAATATCTGCTTTTTTTTACACATTTAATAGCTGCAACCAGTCTCTTTCTGTGTCAATGAAATTGTTCTGGCCAGTGAAACGCCCATGAGTCCACTCAGCTCAGATGGGTTTTAGGCTTGCGTTACGGAAAGTAAAGGCAGTGGGAGTGGGGGTAGTGCTAACAACAAAATCACTTCATGTTCCGATGGCACTGAAACAGGTGAACTCAACTTCACCTGCCCCATGGCCCGCGAGGACCGAAAGTGCACTCTACATTATGTAATGTTTTACATACCTTGCTTATGTTTTACTTTTTACGTTATTTGATCATAGATCCACTACATATTGTGAATGTCCACTTCTCGTTCATTATATATTACTCTGGCTCTCGTGTTCGCAAAATGTGATCAGTACCGAAAGGAATCTAAGACCACATACATGAGAAAAACGTTATGAGAAAATCTGAACGTACTTGCATGGGTTTCCAACAGGGTCAGGGGCGTATCCAGCACAAGCGGCAGGCCCTGAGGTCAAGATCATTGTAAAACAGTGTTTGAAATCAAGCATTGATTTTAAAATCATGCATGGTAAAGATGTTTAAAATGATCCTGCGTAGGCTTTATCTTAGCTGATGTATACCAATAAAACCCTAGAAAACTTCCAGAATCAATATATTAAGATTTCGATATATTTAAAAAACAATTATCTCTTAATGCCAAACGAGAGAAAAGGTAGCCATCATTTAATGCCCGACGCATCATATTGTAAACAGAATCACATGTCACTCACACAAAAAATCTAGTAGTACAAAACACCCCAAAACGTAGATAGTAAATCTGTTATTTTAAAAACTATGTTATTTAAATTGCGAGGTTTTAGAATCAGCTCTATTCTGATTACTTCACAGTGTGTGTGTGTGTGTGTGTGTGTGTGTGTGTGTGTGTGTGTGTGTGTGTGTGTGTGTGTGTGTGTGTGATAAGACAGTACTCACCTACAGGTCCCTGCCTGCTGACCTCACATTCGAATCTGCCGGTAAAGTCACAAGCGGCCATCTTCTCGGCGGCGGAGACAGTAACACACAGTCTGGACACGTTGTTGAAAACTTGGCCTGAATAGTTAGAGAAAGGTTAAAAACTAGAACTAAAACATTGAATAATAGATTGAAAACTAGGACCGGAACATTACGTAATAGATTGAAAACTAGAACTGAAGCGCTTAAAGCATACCTCAATAATAACGTAATTAATAAAAACATTAGGTGATTTGAAATTCTAAACGTCATAATACAAATGTCTTTGGCCAAAGGTTAATGCCCAAATGTCTTTATCGAAACGTAAATGCCCAAATATTTTTGTCCGAAGGTAAATTCCCAATGTTGCTTATTGCAAAAGTCCAATAGTCTGTCGAAATGATCAGACTGAAGTCTATGCCTACTTGTCACTGTCCAAATAAACAGTGTCCAAATTCATCAGCCAACGTTCAAATTTTAAATGTATTACAGGTGTCGATGTCGACGTTTTAAGTGATCTAAAAACACATTAAATCTTTTAACTCGCCTATTGGGCAGTTCATCTCGTAGAGTTTTCCGTTGGCACACTCAAAGTACTTGTTGCAGCACCTGCCACTGGGGTACCTCGTTCCTCTTGGTGTCCCAGCATTACACACGGCTGGAAGCAAACAAAACACGGGCTGGAACTAAGTGACACAAGGGAAATACAAGGGAAATAACCACCATTGTCTTGTTACCTGCCCTTGTTGAGTGGCACTTACCATAGGAGCACTTGACGAAGTCGATAAAGTTGCACTGAGCACCGTCCCAGAAGGTTCCAGAAGGACACATTTTCCTGATGGGGGTCAGGTCTGGCATGCACTGGTAGAAAGAGTCGCAGTACTGGGGGTCAAAGTCGAACCCGTAGCCGCCCTCAAACAGACACTGGCTGCACACTGCGGGGATGGTTGAGAAAATGTCAGAGGTTTTTTAATCGGTTGGTTAAAAGCTACAGATTATGTATTTATTTATTGCAAGCAACATTTGGCCAGAGTATTTATATTATTTGATGTGAAGCTCAGTTATCTTTTTATCGCTCTTATTATACAGATTTTGCCAGAACTGGCAACTTCAGAAATCTTAAAGAGGTACAGACTGTTAAAAAGCCGTCATCTTCCATAGTATAATCTGATGTTTAAATAAAAATCTAAGAGGCGAATTTTTAATATATTATATTATCATTTAATGTGAAAAAAAACGATAGAGTTAAATATATAAATTTAAAACTCTTTTTAAAAAATTAAAAAATACAACACGTTTAAAGAGCACTTACATCCGGTTGGTTTTTGTGTTGGTGGTCGGGGTGTTGATGTGGTGGTGGTCGTCGTGGTAGTTGTTGTGGTGGTGCTAGTGGTTGTAGGGGTTGTGGTGCTGATTGCCGGACACAGGGCTAGGATGACCTTGGCGAGCTCTGCGGCCAGATACCTGTAGCTCTTTGGGTTTGTTGTGCTGAAGGGGTCTGTTATGGTAGCATTAACACTGCCAGTGCCAAAGTAAAGCTCTTCGTAGTCGACATCGTTCTTTCCCTGGAAATGGTAAAATCATATGCGTTAAAACAACTGCTTAAATAGTAAGTATATTGTATCTATATTTTAATAGCTCTATTGCACTGATTATACACGAAATTGTATGATAATCACTCCCGCTTTCTAATTTTGATATAAATTCAATTTAAATAAATATATTTGACAGAGCCAATTAAAACAGTCGTGACTATTTTACTATTTAGGTTTTACACCCAAGACACGCTCACCTTTAAAACTATGACGTAAGGGTTCCAGCCAAGGCCTTTAACTCTGTTGTAACTAGTTAGAGCCTGCGTCCTTCTGGAAACCGACCCAGATCCTTGAGTTGACAAGATGACCAGCCTGTTGTTGGCGTATGCTGGGGTAGTTTGTACCATTTCCAGACCTCTGAAGGTCCAGGAGCCAGCCTGGAATGCGCAAAATTTTGAAAGATAAAATATTGAACTTGGACGTTAAAACTTGACCGTGAGTACTAAAATAAAAACTTACATTGGAGCTCAGTAAAAGGTTATCCAGGTTGTTTCTTGCGTTAGCTGGGGTTGTCCCTATTGGTATAACGGTCGTCTGGGGGTCGGAGCTACTGTAGCCAAAGGCTCCGATCCTGTAATGATAGATGTAAATTGTAGATTTGATAGCAAAGTTTTATGCTGATACAAACAATACTGAGTGTGTTATTGCAGGATAAAAGCACTTATTAAATTTAACATTAGCTCCCACAGACAGATCTTATGGTTTTGAACAATGTTTCTCATTTGTCGTTTTTTACTTTCAAGTAGATCTAAATAATCGTATTCTTTAGCGACTGAATATTAAAACTTAACTATATAAAAACTTCAATTTATATAATTAAAGAGCTTCTGCTCGAACCTAAAGGTGTTTGACGTAGCAATCAGCTGATCCGACAAGGCTGTGTTGAGAGCACTTCTCAATAAATCAAATTTGTCGTTATCTGTAGGGGTATCACTAGAGGACGCGGCGAACTTGGCGTTCTCGGACTGGTCGATGAGGAAAACAATTTCTCCATTTTGGCAGACTGTAAGATTAACCGATTTTAGAAATTATACAATTAATTTTCTATAGTTTTTTGAAATATGAGAAAAACTAAATCTATTTTATTTTGTTGCACAACAGAACTGACGGCATAAAGTTACCTTAGGGTAAGGACGTATTAGCTTTTCTCAAAAGCTGTACTGTAAATTCTTAATTTTACTTTAAATCCTAATAAAGATCGGCCATTTTTTGTCATTGCCATTTTAAATTTTACGATTGCTCATTGATTTAGTAGCCTACTGCTGCCAGTAAACTATTGGATGACCTGTCTTCAGATCTTGCTATATCAAAATTAGCCATTCCCTTACAAATGTGTACACTACAATAGTTTAAATAAGTCGTTTTACCTTGGGCTAGGGATGTTGCCGCGATGCAGGCGAACGTTAGGATGTGCAGGAGATGCATCTCGGTCTGAAAGGTCCCACAAGATAATTAATTTTTTACATTATTAAAATGGAAAATACAATATATATCGGTATAATAATTTAAAAACTTAATGATTTCTAATAGATTAGAAACTGAAAAAAATATTTTTTCAACCCTTTTAATATTATACATTTAGTTGTACATGATTAAAATGGAAAATATGATATAAGCAGAAAATAATTTAAATACTTCAGTGATTTTCTAGTAGATTAGGAAAAAATGTATTTCTAGCCCTTTTAAAATTATAAATGATCCTTTTAAAATATATGTTTACTAATTGCTCAAATACTACTTTTATTTTCCTTATGAAAATATAGGTATTTTAACTTTATTTCTTGAAAACAAATTATTTTTAAGGTGTTTTCCACGGTTATGTTGTTTTCAGATCGTATGTAAAACAAAGTTAAAACATAATGTACCCCCGCAGATGTAACGTAAAGTTACAAAGTATTCCAAAATAATAAATGAAGACAACTTATCCGTGCATTTTTATACAAGCTTACACAACACCATGTTTTATCGCATTAAACGCAAATATTAATAGGCCTACTCTTTGTTAATTTATTGCGAAAATATTTCTTCAACAAAATGAAAAATAAATTCTTTATTGTCCTCATTTTGTTGAAATTAGTGGATCACACAAATCCAACAATACAGATAAACAGAGTAGTAGTTGAAAACAATTTATGTGTATTTCTAATTATATTATTTTCATTATAGCTTGTGTCACAAAAGAATTATTTTATTTTATTTACTTAAATTTCTTTAGATTAGCATAGAATATGACCGATTTTTAGTTATATTTTTGGCATTAAAAGAACACATTGTTTACAACTTATAGATTGAATAACGTAACTACTTACTTTGGATTGTATCCGATTTAGAAAATGAGTTATTGAACTAAATTTAATAAAACTTTCAAAATAAAATATATCTTTAACTTATTAACTAGATTTAAGAAATTCACTTGTAAAATCCTTCTATTTTTCTGATAGTTCTTATTGGACTTGGTGCCCAAAAGTTCCACGCTAGCTTAAAGAGACCAGGCCCAAATTAAGCTTTATATACGACCTACCCTGTTTACCCTAAGTGAACCTGGGCTTACAACATATGCATAATACACCGCACCAAAACTACTTACAATACTTTAAGGTGCGCACGTACAAACACTCACCCACTCGTTATCAAAACAATCCACCGGTCGTGTCCCCTTTTCACAGCTCGAGTTGCCGTTCGCGAATTTATACGTGGGTGCTCTTCTCTTGGTATTTACATAATGTTTTTCCTTAAGGGGGATAATCTGCACGATTTTTGATTCTTGCAAGTGTCCTCATAAGTCATCAAATGGATACAATATTAAGAGCAAAAATTCTAAATTAACATGCACACATGAACTATGTAATTTTTAAAAATAAGTTGGCTAAATCATTTCACACAATATTAAATGTATGTTAAAATTAGTCGGGCTCTCGGCTCTTTAGGCTGTATGTTTTTTAAATGCATTTTTATTGATGTCTCAACAATAATTTTTCGAATAAATTTATTTTCAGTGACCCTTTTGTTAGCTAAGTGATTATAATGTGTGTAAAAAAAAAAAATAAGATGGTTTATTTATTTAATTGGAATTTATGCATATACAATGTTGTCAGTAAAGCAAACAAAATTGATGGAAGCTTTTGATAAAGTCCCAGAATGAAGAATTTACAAAACAGCGCTGTGATTGTGATGCATGAGCTAAAAATGGAGAAATGAACTTGCAGAATTACACAAAATTTCAACCAAGATTTATTTTTCTACTGTTCATTATTTGCAGTTTAAATTAGCATGTATGTCTACTCATTTTCTTTAAGATTTATTTCTTAAAAACTATTTTCATTATAAAAACCTAGGCCTACCACATGTAGTTATCAGGTAAATTGTATTCAAATTAAGGATTTAATGCCCTTTTCTGTTATTTTTCATTATGCGCTTGATTTTACATGTGAAAATGATAAAAGAATGTATATTTAATGCTTAGAATGACAGAGTGAATTTAATGTACATTATTTAAAATATAATAATTTTCTGGTTTCTACTATGATCTGACCAGGATACAAGTGCATTTGTTTGAGCTGTAATTGACTTACTTGAAATAAATATTGTCTTTTCAAAAATTAAAAAAAAAAAATTATAATGTGTGTTAAATTTATAAGCTAATTTATCAGTTAAAATAAAAATATATTCGTTGTTTTCACATGTTAAAATAATCATTTATTTCATCTGCTAATTTTATTATATTATGTATTTTCTTGAATGTAATAGAAAACAAAATTTGTTAAAGTCCTGTAATTTAATAAAAAGCGTTATCCTTTACATCGTTTTTATTAACACGTTTTTATTAACTCAGCTTCGCGTGGATGTGTTTGTTGTTAAAATTGACATCGAAAATTAGCCCACTTCTGATTGCTCTATAGATCTGAAATTTGGCATGCAGGTTACTTTCGCCTAACAATTTCAGATGCAATCATAAAAACTAGCAATTAGAGACCGTAATTAGTTTAATTTAATTACGCCCAAAGGACCATAAAATTGAGGACATGATTTCTAAAGATACCGACAAGACTGGAGGCTTGTTGACACAGTTACTTCGGCCCCAATCGATGTGAGCGCGCTGGCCGTGATCGTATAGTGGTTAGTACTTCGCGTTGTGGCCGCGACAACCCAGGTTCGAATCCTGGTCGCTCAAGATTTTTTTAGTCCGTGTATTTATAAACACTTAGTCAATTCATACTTAATCAAGTCATTAGATAAAGTAGAAAATAAACTATATAAAAAACTTTTTTAAAAAACACGTTTTTCATGTGTAGCAACGGACTAAAAAGGAGAAAATAAAATACTTAAAAAAAACTTTTTAAAAAACCACGTTTTTCTTGTGGACTAAAAAGTAGAAAATAAATTTTCATACATTTGATGACAAAAAACGTGGGTACGTTCACCATCAAATTTCCCGACCCATCTGCCCGACCCACGTTTTTTGTCATCAAATGTATGAAAATTTATTTTCTACTTTTTAGTCCACAAGAAAAACGTGGTTTTTTAAAAAGTTTTTTTTAAGTATTTTATTTTGATTACTTATCTTCAATTCACATAAAATATTGCATACACTTTAAGAACCGCTGAGACCTAACTGGGAATATAAATTAAGTCCACCCATAAAAACCCACAGTCCAGCCAGGGCCTAACCCCAGAACCATGTTTAATTACCCCCCACCCCCCCCCCCCCCGGGAAGCCATGCCACCCCCACCCTTAGAACGAATGTTTGAAGACCTACCCATTCACAACCTGTTTGTTCCTCTTACCTCCCAGTCTACGTGTGATAGAATGGCCTGCGTGATGTCAAACAGCAATTAGAAAAGATGGTTGACTGTGGGGTGACAACCACCCCTTAACCCCCCCCCCCCTCCCCCCACCCCACGTCTTAGATTTCATACTAGAGATGTGGGAGTAGAACAAGAAAAAAAATTGTTGCAATAGACAGCATAATGTACACAAAATGTGTGTATAGTGAGGGGAGTGTCTGTTTGGTTTTGACGACATGAAAGACTGCAGTCCTGAACTTTGAACAGATATCTTTATATGGGCATAATTTTTATACTGCAAATAGAATTAAACCTAGTCCATACTAAAGTATCTTTTCCTGTAATATATTTAGAAATATATTTATTATTTTTTATTCTTATTTTTGTTTTTAGATGTAGTTTCATAAATGTATTCAAAAGTATATATAAACTTTTAGTGGTTTTTCATTGTTTAATTTTTTTCTGTTCTAAACTATATAATGAAATCTATAATAATAATATATAGTTAAACAATAAATCCATAGTTAATGCTGGGGGGAGGGGTTGGGAGGGGCGATCAGACATTGTTTACGGCAATAAATTATTGTAAACAGTATGGCATTACGTGACTGTAAAGGCATGGTGGACTGAGGACATGGTGGTGAAAAGCCTACCTATCTATTCCTACTTAGATCTATATCTTAAGTCGAAATGACGAAGTGGATGTCTGTCAGTGGTAGAGTTTGCTGTCAAATTGTGTGTCTCAGTTTTGATAAATTTTGTTGTCAAATCGCGTGTCAGTTTTGATAAAATTTGCTGGCAAATCGTGTGTGTCAGCTTTGATAAAATTTGCTGGCAAATCGTGTGTGTCAGCTTTGATAAAGTTTGTTGTCAAATCGTGTGTCTCAACTTTGATAAACTTTGCTGTTAAATCGTGTGTCTCAACTTTGATAAACTTTGCTGTCAAATCGTGTGTCTCAACTTTGATAAACTTTGCTGTCAAATCGTGTGTTTCATTTTTGATAAACTTTGCTGTCAAATCGTGTGTCTCATTTTTGATAAACTTTGTTGTCAAATCGTGTGTCTCAGTTTTGGTAAAGTTAAAGTTTGTTGTCAAATCGTGTTTTATTTTTGATAAAGTTTGTTGTCAAATCGTGTGTCTCAGTTTTGGTAAAGTTAAAGTTTGTTGTCAAATCGTGTTTTATTTTTGATAAAGTTTGTTGTCAAATCGTGTGTCTCAGTTTTGGTAAAGTTAAAGTTTGTTGTCAAATCGTGTTTTATTTTTGATAAAGTTTGTTGTCAAATCGTGTGTCTCAGTTTTGATAAAGTTAAAGTTTGTTGTCAAATCGTGTGTCTCATTTTCGATAAAGTTAAAATTTGTTGTCAAATCGTGTGTCTCAGTTTTGATAAAGTTAAAGTTTGTTGTCAAATCGTGTGTCTCATTTTCGATAAAGTTAAAATTTGTTGTCAAATCGTGTGTCTCAGTTTTGATAAAGTTTGTTGTCAAATCGTGTGTCTCAGTTTTTTTATCAATTTCTGCTGCAGAAATCTCAGCTAAATTCATTCCAACACAAAAATATTTAATTTGCAAAATATGAAATGCAATATATGATTCTCTTAAAGATACCTGCATCTTATTTAATAAAAAAGAAGGGACATTGCAATATTTAAGTTAGATTGCATCAGATCCCTGTATCCAGCAATGAAAAGGGAGGTAACAAGATTAAGTAGAAAGAAGCATTCACTGGATCAACCAACCAAGCTGTTGGCCTATTTGCGAGTATTTTTTTACCTGAGAGCCGCCCATTGACTCTAATAAAAGAAAGATATTTTTAGTTGCTGACCGGGTTGTAAAACAAAGATAATTTAATTAAAAAGAATGTAAAGGGAAAAACATGATCCTAATTTGATAATGATGTAAAGTAAACAAAAAAGATTTTCTAAAAAGCAGAATTTCGTATTTAGCACTGTAATTAATTAGTAAATATTGCGTGTCCACCCTTTAGTTTCTTAATTGTGTTTATAGATTTTACTTAACCTTCTAATTAAAAGCAAACAATTTCTATTGTTAATTGTTTTTACCTAGTTCCCTTTCTATAGAACAAAACGTAAAAATGTCGTTTATTGAAACGTTTGACAATCGATGACCTAGACTGTTTAACATTGACCGGGGGAGTGGGGTCGTCACGAAGTAAAGAAGTAGAGTTCAAATTTTTCTTGACCTCAGCGTATGAAAGTGTGGTCAGCACTTTGCCCTGCCGCCTTTACTTTCCGTTACATGAGTTAGGCACCTATCAGAGTAGCCTATCCATCTACAGTTTAGTCCACGGCTTCCCCGACAAAATATTTTTGATCCCACCTAGTCTTTGAAGGTAGGGGGGATTTTGAAAATGTTATCTTTTTTTTTTATTTGCTGAAGCAATGTTAATTATAAAATGTGATAACATTTTTTTTAAATTTAAGAATTGCAATTTATCTTGATAAAGATGGCGAAACGACTTTATAATAAGGCTTTTGCGTCTTGCCTGAATAACCTTTTAACTTTCTAGAACACGAACATAGAACACCTGGGACAAGGGTCTTCTGCACCTGAGTGTTGGATGAGTCATTAAGGGCAGGTGGGACAGGTAGATCTTAAGTGAAATGTAGGTAGTTAGAGGGATGAGTGGTGGGGTATCAGGTACGGTCGTCTGTGTGGCGGACGGTGTGTGGTTGACGGTGTGTGGTGGACGGTGTGTGATGGAGGGTGTGTGGTAGGTGTGGTGATAAGAGGTGATAGATTGGGAAATGTAAGGAGATATTTGAGTTTGTGTGTGGCGTGTTAGGCGGTGTGTTTGTGGTGTGTAAGGTAGTGTTAGGTGTTGTGATAGTGGTGCGCAAGATGAGTGTAAGGTGGGGTGTTGGTGGTGTGTAAGTTGGGGTGTTAGTGGTGTGTAAGGTGGGGTGTTTTGGTGTTAGTGGTGTGTTCGTAGTGTTAGGTGGGGTTTTAGTGGTTTGTTAGGTAGGGCGTTCAGTGGTGTTTGGGAGGAGAGGCTACATAGAGTGGAATAAAAGGTTGGATGGGATATGGGACATGTGAACGAAAGGTAGAAGGGTATATTATGATTTGGTTGACTATTATTATGTTATATGGGAAGATCGATTGGGCGTTCAATACTGTTGGCAAATATACTTATCTTAGAGATAATGTGTAGGGTTTTCTGAGGTCGACGTGTGTTGTGAACTGTGAGGTGATGTATGTCAATGTATTAATGTTTTGAACGATTTGCGACCGGTTCAATCTGTTCTACAGTTTTGAAATGCAAATGTGGCCTAAAGAGCCAAAAGCCCGACTAGTTTTATATTTACCGCTCCACTGAGAGGTGGGCTGAAGTCACTCCACCCCTACCCCACCCCCACCCTCACACACACTTGACTTGGTCTGCTTCTAAATTGGTTTTTTTTTCAACTCAACCCCCTCACCCAGTGTGAAGAAAGAACGTGAGGTATAGTTGTCTAGACTGTGTTCAGTTGGTAGAGCTTCTTAAAATATATTTCAGCGACAAACGATTTTTGAGAAATCGGAAATTGATTTAATTAAATCTTCTGGTTACTGGAAATGGCTCAAATATTGTTCAAAGCTATGTTTAAGTTTTTAAACTTACGATTGAAATTTCATCACTTAGTAGAAAGTCTGGAAGAAACACTGGATGCATTGCAAATATAAAGCCCTGGTTAATAAGGTATAGTCTAAGTAGGGCATTATCCTTTTGTTTGTATAAATATATATTTAAACTGACAATACAACACAATAGTATCAATAGACGAATAGAGATCTTTTCTTCACCAGATTTTAATTCAAACTTTATAAAAGAATAAAAAACAGGTACAATAAAAACGTGTAAACTGTAAATAATAATATTATCGTTTGTTGGCAAGTTGACGCTGTGTACGTCTCGATAAATATACTTCATTTACATTGTTTCGGTTTATTTAGAACAAATACATAGCGTGCATCTTTTTGGTAAAAATATAATCTTGTTAACAAATGTGTAATTAAATTATATTTGATGTTTTATCGTATAACATAAATGTTTCAATCAGTTATATATTCTAGAATTTTTTGTGTTTACTTTATGCTTTTTAAAATGTAATATATTGTAAATATTATTATATTTTGTTGTATGTTATAGACATATGAGATAATAATTTGTATTACTTTTATTGTACTGTTTATAATCTCATATCACATAGCCCTTTCGTATCTTAGCTCATTTGAACGACTGTCATTGTGTTTAGCTACATATTGTTGATACAATATTTTTTATTGCAGATGTGTAACAGTTGTTAGAATACTTTTGTTCCGCATTATGCGTCGATGTTTTTATACTTTAATGTTCCTAGTTTTTAGTTTTTATCTCAGGACTGAGTCGATATCCTGGCAGCTCTCGTAGACGGCAAACTGAAACGAAACAAAAGAAAAAGATTAATATATCAGCTTTATGAAAACTTAAAGCACACCATACACATTCGATGTCGTGTATAGTATATGTCTGGTAAATTTAGACAGGTTATGGAATTAAGTGTGTGACAATCCTGAGACCCCGTCAGGTTTTTAATTCATATTCGAAAGCATTGCAAGACAGTATGGAATAGGGAGTTAGGGGGCTGTTCGCTCTGTAAAGACAGCCTGCGATCTCATGTCCGGGTACAGAACTCCTAACTTTTGGGTCATTCGGTGTGTACTACCACTCGGCCACGCCTTCCCCTAACATCACACACTGCGGTACAAAGATGTGGTGTATCGAGAAGTCAACGCTATGGAAATGAGAAAGATCGTGAACTCTGAACTGACCTGATCAATAAGTCCAACGAAGTGGTTGTTGGGACCTCTGCCAAGCTGAATGCCACATTTGTTGATGGCTATGTGACCTGCAACAGATAATGAAAGACTTGTCATGTAGCTTCAATCCAAATACACACAACATAGAATACAAAACGTCTATGAAAATTATTCAACTTTTAAAAAACTGTTTAATTAAAAAGGCGTCATTGTTCCCTAATTATTTTCGTTCAATGGTGTGTTGGTTGTGTTAATCTATATGTATAGGAGTAATGAAACATATTAATCTATGTGTATAGGAGTAATGAAAGTTAATCTATGTGTATAGGAGTAATGAAACATATTAATCTATGTGTGTAGGAGTAATGAAACATATTAATCTATGTGTATAGGAGTAATGAAAGTTAATCTATGTGTATAGGAGTAATGAAACATATTAATCTATGTGTGTAGGAGTAATGAAACATATTAATCTATGTGTATAGGAGTAATGAAAACATGTTAATCTATGTGTATAGGAGTAATGAAACATATTAATCTATGTGTATAGGGGTAATGAAAACATGTTAATCTATGTGTATAGGAGTAATGAAAACATGTTAATCTATGTGTATATGAGAACACCTTGACATTGGCCATAACACTTCCCTATTGAACTAAACACCTGGCTAACTGCCCAACTTACTTCCGGCTGTCTTTCCCACCCTGCTAAAGTCAACAGCCTGGATGACACTGTTGACGTTACTTCCGCTGACCTCTTTCACTTTACCATATATGGCGTTGTCCCCAAACACCACGGTGATGTCCATCATATCGTTAGCGTTCTTAGAAAAAAAAAAGACAATGTCAGTTATAGAAATGTTGGTCTTTGTACTTGTATTGATGATTGATTTCAATATTTGCAAATTGTATGTGTTTAAAATAAAAGGAAATTGTTACATTTAACTTCATTAAACCATAAAAGTAAAAGCAGGTAGCATGTTTATTATTTGATAAATGTACAATGTTAGAACATCATGATAATTAACATTCTTGTATAAAATTAACTAACTAATAAAGTATATCCATGAATGTATATGCAATAATTCTGATCGAATTGTATGTATTGAAGTAAATCAAATTTTGCGTCCAAAATGTTGTAAAATGTCTATAAAAGAAATAAAAATAATAGTAACTTATTAGAAATAGCCAATCTTTGGGCCATTTAAGCTTGGGTGGTTATTGACCTCATGGTAGGAATAAAATACTTTAATTTAAAAAGCCGAACTCATTTAAAATGTAAAACCAATGCAGATGTTCTGGAAATGTGAGTCTAGAGACGGAACAAACGTTGGTACTCACTCTAAGATCAATGATGGCGGATGTCTGAACACTGGAGTTTCCAGTGGTGACAAACATGGCGGTGACCACACGCTTGGTACTGGATGTGGCTGAGACTGTGAGCCGGATGGTGTCGGGACACTGGGAGCAGTAGCTGTTGGAGAAGATGTCGTACTCTCTGTTTAGCTGGGGATTCTGTAGGGAGACGAATAGTGTTTGATTAGTGGGAGCAGTAGCTGTTGGAGAAGATGTCGTACTCTCTGTTTAGCTGGGGATTCTGTAGGGAGACGAATAGTGTTTGATTAGTGGGAGCAGTAGCTGTTGGAGAAGATGTCGTACTCTCTGTTTAGCTGGGGATTCTGTAGGGAGACGAATAGTGTTTGATTAGTGGGAGCAGTAGCTGTTGGAGAAGATGTCGTACTCTCTGTTTAGCTGGGGATTCTGTAGGGAGACGAAAAGTGTTTGATTAGTGGGAGCAGTAGCTGTTGGAGAAGATGTCGTACTCTCTGTTTAGCTGGGGATTCTGTAGGGAGACGAATGGTGTTTGATTAGTGGGAGCAGTAGCTGTTGGAGAAGATGTCGTACTCTCTGTTTAGCTGGGGATTCTGTAGGGAGACGAATGGTGTTTGATTAGTGGGAGCAGTAGCTGTTGGAGAAGATGTCGTACTCTCTGTTTAGCTGGGGATTCTGTAGGGAGACGAATGGTGTTTGATTAGTGGGAGCAGTAGCTGTTGGAGAAGATGTCGTACTCTCTGTTTAGCTGGGGATTCTGTAGGGAGACGAAAAGTGTTTGATTAGTGGGAGCAGTAGCTGTTGGAGAAGATGTCGTACTCTCTGTTTAGCTGGGGATTCTGTAGGGAGACGAATAGTGTTTGATTAGTGGGAGCAGTGGGAGCAGTAGCTGTTGGAGTCGTACTCTCTGTTTAGCTGGGGATTCTGTAGGGAGACGAATAGTGTTTGATTAGTGGGAGTAGTAGCTGTTGGAGAAGATGTCGTACTCTCTGTTTAGCTGGGGATTCTGTAGGGAGACGAATAGTGTTTGATTAGTGGGAGCAGTGGGAGCAGTAGCTGTTGGAGTCGTACTCTCTGTTTAGCTGGGGATTCTGTAGGGAGACGAAAAGTGTTTGATTAGTGGGAGCAGTAGCTGTTGGAGAAGATGTCGTACTCTTTGTTTAGCTGGGGATTCTGTGGGGAGACGAATAGTGTTTGATTAGTGGGAGTAGTAGCTGTTGGGAGAAAATATCGTAGTCTCTATTTAGCTGTGGATTTTTAGGGAGATAAACCGTGTATAGCTAGTAGAAACATTGGGTGTTGGAGAGCAGTGTTTATTTAGAGAGAAACCAACATTGAATCAGTTAGCGGTCAAAGTAAGACAAACACATGGGGTCAAGACTTACGTCCAATCGCACGCGAGCTCTGAAGGCGGTGTTACTGGCCATGTCCTTGTTGTTGAAGAAGAAGTAGTAGAGGAAGGCATTGCTCATGTCAGGGGTGAAGGTCAGGGCGTTGTTCTCCAGACGGACTTCCTGTTGGATGGAGTAGACGTCCAGAGCTTTGTTCAGACGCTCGCTCAGGACGGTTTTACTTCCGTTGTCGAAGTTGGCCAGGAACACGGCGTTACAGACATTGGAGGAGCCTGGGGGTTAAGGGTTTTTTTTTGTATAATATTACAGAAGTTAAAGGGTTAAATGTATTATAGTACACTACTACAAATAATCGAGAGTTAAAACTTTAGAACAATATTACAAAAAAACGTGAACAAAATTACTGAAAAGCGACGATTTTAAAAATCTGTCACTCAGTAATATTGAAGATAGATAAACAAAGATATTAAAATTTGGTACAATCATTAAAGATCAATAGGAGTATAGGTGCTAAACATAAATACCATTCCTGTTACAGATTCTGTATTAAATATGTTACGACATGGGGGTCTGATAAATACAGAATAGTCCTACTCTTGTCAATGAAGTTTGTCATTGCTTATAGTATTACACAACAGATAGTTCGTCTAGTAGTTGGTGTCCATTCCATGTCTTACCGTTGCCTAGGAAATCTCTGTCCAGGGCCACCAGTGTGTTGTAGCAGCGGTCAGTCTTGCTGAAGTCCAGAGAACATTTGGTCTGGTTCCATTCTGTGCCGGGGGCAACGCTCAGGGAGATTCCTTGGTACTGGTATCTGGTAATAGATGGACGTTAGGATTAGGTGATGTGAGGGGGATTAGGCTGCAATAGGCGAATTGGGATTAGCTGATGTTAGTTAGGGTTATAGGACGTTAATCTAAACGTGTGATAGCCACGGTGATACATTAGCTTGGGGCTAGAACTTGTGCGGTTTAGAGTTAATTTAGAATAGATGGGAATGTTGATTTATTCAAACGAGAGCTGGAATAACTCTATTAGTGGGGGGGGGGAGGTAGAGGTTCAATTAACCTATTCTAAATGTAATCACATATCATGCTCCGGTCAAAGTACATGTTGTATCTCAAATAGAAACCATGTTTCGTTTACGTGTGTTTAGAATTGTAAATACACATCAGTGTCCACCAAACTGTAGTATACAACATAGTGTAACTAAGACTTACTTGCATGGGTTTCCAAATGGATCAGGGGCGTATCCAGCACAAGCCTCGGTTTCTGTGATAAAATTTTACAAAAAGTTAACTCTAAGAAACATTAAAACAAGATGAGAATTCGATATCTTGCACTAATCAAAATCTGCATTCCCCAAATATCAATGGAAAAAAATTATCATAAAATTCATGATTTTTAAATCTACAAACAGCCGATAATCTAACAAGGCCGCCCAGACAGGCACCACAAGAAAATCTCAACTCACTGACTGGTCCGTTCCTGTTGACGTCACACTCGAACCTGTTGGTCATCTCGCACACGACCGTCCTGTTGGAGACAGTCTGGCACCTTCTGCTAGTGGCGTCATAAAACTGGTCTGAAAGTCAACGGGAACCAGGTGTCATGTCGTTGTTTCATAGTTTTAAACCGTTCTTATCGTTTCTTTCTTCTTCTTCGTTCTTAATTATTAGTGTTGAAGGGGATCGAGATTTATCTGCCAGTGGGTTTGAACTCGAGACTTTTTTTTTCGAATTTATCAACCATGAGCTTTTTGCCGACTCGACCACGCCTCCAACACAATTAAGCGTTACGTGTCAACTGGTTATGCGCCATTGAGGCCATTGACTCCGATTTCAGCCTGCTTTTCTTTTTGGATTTGCTTCCATAGCCTTTGTCCAACCAAGAACAAACTACAAGGCAGCAGTTGTTTAATTTTGGAGTTGTCTCTCCTAGAAGAGTGGCTGTCCCCAGCTAATGAGCCTCATCTACCCGAGGGTTCGAACTCGAGACCTTTCGGTTTAGCAACCATGAGCTTTACCGACTCGACCACGCCGACCCCTGTTCTTATCGTGATATCATTAGAAATGGCATCATTAAAGCTAACACTAAAATTGAGAATTTCATTTAGCGTTACTTAGGTTACCACAGTTAAAAAAAATATCCCTTGATACTAATTTTAATGTTGATTTAAAATGCAGTTAACATAAAACAACGAATCAGTTTTCCCTAAAGTAATCGATGAGGTTATTCCTAAAGTGAACCATCAATTTATCCTTAATGATAACAAAAAGCTACCCCTAACGTTGACAATAAAGTTATAACTAAAGTTAACAATAAAGTTATCCCCAAAAATAACAATACATTGAAACTTTCAGTTAACAATAAAAGCACGACTATGTTAACAATAACGTTATCACTTAAGTTTGCCATAAAGCTGTCACTAAATTTAACCAAAATGTTATCATCAAAGCTAACACTAAAGTTATCCCTAAAATAACAAGAAAGCTATTACTGACGTTGACAATAAAATTATCCCCATAAAATAACAAGAAAGCTATCACTAACGTTACCAATAAAGTTATCCCCATAAAATAACAAGAAAGCTATCACTAACGTTACCAATAAAATTATCCCCATAAAATAACAAGAAAGCTATCACTAACGTTACCAATAAAATTATCCCCATAAAATAACAAGAAAGCTATCACTAACGTTACCAATAAAATTATCCCCATAAAATAACAAGAAAGCTATCACTAACGTTACCAATAAAGTTATCACATAAAATAACAAGAAAGCTATCACTAACCTTACCAATAAAGTTATCCCCTAAAAAACTATCACCAAAGCTGCCAATAAAAGTTACCACTTCTCTACTCACCCATGGGGCAGCTCATCTCGGTCAGGTTCCCGTTGTTACACTCGTAAAATTTGTTACAGCATCGTCCGCTGGGGTAGCGGGTCCCGGCGGGGGTCCTGACGTCACAAACAGCTGAAACAAGAAACACAGGTAAAAGATGTCAAGTGTTTATAGTATTTTGTTTATCACAGGTAAAATGTTGTGTCGTCATTCAAATGTAAAGTAAGTCTTGTGTTTTTCTGCTGTTTTTGTCACAGGTAAAATGTGGTGTGTAAACTAACCCGTAGATTTAAGACTAAGTAATTTTCTAAACCTGTTCAGTCGCAGCCAGTATTTCTTGGATACTAAATATAGACGTGCCAGGTGACTTTATTTGTTTACATACCGAGTTGACATTTGACCTTGTGGATGAAGTCGCACTGGTCACCGTTCCAGAAGGTTCCAGCAGGACAGAGTTTCTTGATGGGCTCTGAGTCGGGGATACACTGGTAGAAGGTGTCGCAGTACTGGGGGTCGGAGTCGAACCCGAACCCTCCCTCGAACAGGCACTTGCTGCATATGGGAGCTGGTGGGGTGGTGTAGGTTAGGCTTATTATACAAAGTATCAATGTAAGGGGCACTTGGGTTGTTTAAAATCAGCATTTATCATTATTGAATTTGACAATAAAGGCATCGCTAAATTCATAATTGAAGTTAACATTTTAATTATTATCAAACCCATCAGTAAAGATATAATAGTCATCACTGAAGTTAACATCTAAATTATAATGTTAAAATAAATTACAGTTAATAAATAAGTTGTCTTTAAAAGTTATCTTAATTGTCCTAGTAAATCAGGAAAATATGTGTCGGCTATAAAAAGTTATAGTAAAGTTCCCTTTTCAAACCTGACGGTCTATAGGGCAACTGAAGTAGAGTTCATTTGTTTCTGTGACCTCGGCATATGAAGAGAAAGTGTGGTCAGCACTATGCCCAGACGCCTTTACTTTCCCTAACGTGTCGGCTATACTTATTACGAATAGGGACGGCGTCTATGCGGTGGAGCTCTAGGCTGCTTAACCGAAAGGCTGGGATTCGAATCCGGATTCAAATAAATAGGACGTCCCTGAGTTCACCCAGCTATGATGGGTACCTAACTCATGTTAGGGAAAGTAAAGGCGGATGGGCAAAGTACTGGCCACACCTTCTCTTCATATTCAGAGGTCAAGAAACATGAAATTTACTTGATATACTTAATCGATCGCTATGCCTGAAGAGGATTCTTTACTTTGTATACGTATCACAAGTAGCTGACGCATGTACGTATATATTAAAGTTAAAAGCGTGAAATAAATTCAAACTCACATCCGCCAAAAGTAAAAATTTTGTCTGCGAGCGTGGTCGTAGTCGTGCTTCTAGTTGTGGTTGTTGGTGTGGTGGTGGTGGTCGGGGTTGTGGTGGTGGTGGTTGTTGGCGTTGTGGTGGTGGTGGTTGGGGTGGTGGTGGTGGTTGGGGTGGTGGTGGTAGTGGTGGTGGTCAGGGTGGTGGTGGTAGTGGTGGTGGTCGGGGTGGTGGTGGTAGTGGTGGTGGTCGGGGTGGTGGTAGGGGGCAGCTCGTTGCACAGGTTGGCGATGATTTTGTTCAGCTCGGGGGTGAGAAGTCTGTAGCTCTTAGGGTCAGAGTTCGCAGTGTCGTTCAAATACGGAGGTCTGACTCCACCGTTTATCATGGTGAGTTCTTCGAAGTCGATTGGGTTTCTGCCCTGTAAAGTTTATAAGTCAATGACGTTATGGCTTAGGATTGTATAAATACCAAGTCTAAAGTAATAGGTTCTGTACTGAAAAATAATGTATAGGTTGTTAAGGTTTATGGCTTTATAAGTACCAAGTCTAAAGCAATAGGGTCTGTAAAAGAAAAATGTAATAAGTCAAAGATTTTAGAGTTCATGGCTTTATAAATACCAAATCTATAGCAATAGGGTCTCTGTTTTTCAAAAATTTAGTTAAAGTCTGTACCTAGAATTCTGGCTTTATGCTATTTTATATTGAAACTATAAGCAATCAAGTCAACACCATAGTTGGTGGCGTCGACAACAGCTTTAACTTAACATGAGACAGTTTTAACTTTGATGGTCTAAGAGTGGTCTGAACCCTCTTCCTCCCCCCCCCCCCCCTCCCACTGCCCCCAACACTCGTAGTTTACGCCAGTGACGTGCAAGCCCACACCCATGATAGGATGAATTCGTATAGGTTTGCTGCGCAGTAAAATTCAGACTAAGTCAATAAGCTTTATGCCCTTATTATAATTAACTCAAAGTCAATATAATGTTAGCCCTGGTACGGTTAATCCAAAGTCAGCATACATTTCAAATTGAAAATCTAAAGTCAATAAGGATTAAAAATGCCAATCTTTATTTACTTTAGAAAAACAATTACAGCCCTAGCTAAGCCGGCAAGCTTTTACCTGAAGCAAATAACGGCCCTTAAATCAATATGCTCTGTCATAGTCTAATGTTTTTTTCGCATTTAACAATAACATTGTTAGACATAGATGTCAAAATTAATCAAGCTAAATTGGCCAGTTTTCATTTTTTTTTTTCAGAACTTAAATATTTTTCAAACATCAGTCAATCTTCGCAGATAATAATCAAATTTAAAAACTGTGCACGTGCAAACGAATGACGTCATACCTGCAAGGCGATGACGTAAGGGTTCCAGCCCAGCTGTCGGACTCTGAGGATCTCGGACTGTGCCAGGGTTCTGCGAGACGCGGACCCGGATCCTTGGGATGAGATGATGATCAGCTTGTTGTTAGCATAGAGGGGTCGGGTTCGAATCCCCTCCAGGCCAATGTATGTCCACGATCCGGCCTAAAATTAAAAGAAAAAAACATTGAACTTTTTTTCTACTATTCATTATTCCAATCAGCATCGAGAGCGTGCATTATTTCAGTTTAGTGGCTGTTTAAAAGGTAAGATGAACTTACATTGGCGTCCTTGCCAATTTGATTGACAGTAGCGCGCGCATCGTTCAAACTGCTGCCCGCTGGGGTGATGTTAAAAAATGAACTGCTGTAGTCATAGACGCCGACTCTGTTGGCCAGAACAAACAATTTTTTTTATTGCCAGACAGACAATTAACTAGAGTAAATATGGCGGGGAAAAAAACATGTACAGCAGATAGTAGGTAACTTGACCAGAATATGTTGTCGTAATTGCCAAATAAACAAAGAGTAAATTATTTACAATAAAGCCAGGAGAAGGAAATCAATTAACAAAAATGGTTTTCTCAGGTAAAAACTCACTTATTTCTCGATACACGAATATCGTGGAAGTTTTAACGTATGCCTCAAAAAAGATCGTTTAGATCCATAGAAAAAGTTAGCTAGTGCTAATTATGCCAAAAAGTTAATTAGTTCCCCTTTTTTGACGCACAAATTATGTAATTTTATTTGTGGTAGAGTGTAGCGCATTGCAGACACAACAAATAGTTTAAAATGTCATTAATTACATCAACTAATTATACCCCTAAAACTAGATACTGTCATATTTTTAGCTACTTTGTAAGAGGAAAGACACAAAGGACTTGATTCCATTAAAAAAACACAGTGTTTGTTAAGTGAAGTCAGACCTGATAGGGTTAATGCTGCTGGTGATGACGTCATTGTTGTAGAAGCTGGAAATGGAGTTTTGCAAAATGTTGAATTTGGTCAAATCGTTGGACGGGTCGTCAGACGATGCTAGTCTGGCATTTTCTGATTGGTCGAGCAGAAACAGGACTTCTGTTGGTGGGCAAACTGGAAGAGAGAAATTTGCATTTCGTTTCAACAGTTTGATTTATCATGTTTAAAACACACACCAAAATAATAGAACAAGTCGTAAAAAAAAAAACACTTTAGAGAGAATTTTAATTACTGAATATCTCAAATTAGTAAAATGTATATCAAATTGGAACAAAAGTAACACTTAAGGAAAAAAAAATTAATTACTTAATGTATCGAATTTTCAACATTAATGACAAACATATAAAATTGGAATAAAAATAACACTTAATATATTTATTTAAACAGACGAACTCTTCATTTTTAAGGTTCATGTGTACAAAATCTTTATTTTATACCAGCTTGGAAAATCTAGTGACAAGTTAATTGAAGTCTAATCTTAGAATGAAACACAATTTAGTGTTGTATTGTGAATAAACAGTAAATTTATCTACGTGTTCATGAGCTTTAGTATTTATTGCTGGCTATCGCTAGCTGAGAAAAAAAAACCCATCTGCGATAAGACTGCCAAATGGTGACAGAAAACAGTATTAAAAATCCACGAATTGCGTCTAGCAGTAGTTATGATGCGTAAAATAGAGATTTTATAATATATAAACTTTATTCTCCACACATATCTAATGTCAGTACCTACTAATCATCAAAATCAAATACGTCTATTTCTTCATGAGAATGATTCTGTAAAGTTTAAGCTGTGAGTTGTTCAAAACACGTTTTTCACCGAAACCTACCTTGGGCGTATGTGACTAGTATTCCAATGGCGAAGATAAATAGCTGTGTCGGGTTCATCTTTGTATTCCTGTGAGTGTGAAAAACAAACAAACTATCATGTATATCAATTTTTTCTTTAAAAACTTAATTATACTGTATATTACTGTAGACAATATTTAGCGATTAAATTTTTATAAACACCTTATAAAAACTAATATAGTTTTTTTATTACCTTCAATGCGAGTATTTCTTATGGTTTTGGTTTGTTTCTTTAGTAGGCGCAAGAATTTTATATTATTTGCTTCACGTTGTGAAAATTTGCAATTTACTTTAGAGTATTTATGACTTTATTTTTAATTTTATTTTTATGTAATCGTTACTGGTTTCAGAATGTTGTTTCAAATTTAAGTTTCGAAAAAAAAAATTTAATGTTACGTTTTTCGGAATTAAAAAACCTGTTGTTAAGGTTATTCTTGCTCTTGGTTTTAACCGCCGCGTTCTGCGGCTTATATAGGTTCGATCCCGCCTTGTTGGTTTGTGGGTGCCTACGCTGTGAGCCGCCACACCTGTTTGACATGGTTCACACACACGTCACTAATCGGTGTTTAAACATGCAAGGCTTATTGCGCGGACATGCGCACAAGCGTTCAAATCCCAAGCACAACAAAAGACAACAAGGGATGGAACCACTCTAAAACATTAGGTAAACGTAAGCGGCATTCCCGTCCGATTATTGGTGGGGCTATTTTTAGGGATTAATTCAAGTACAATGGGTCACGTGGTTTGATGGCTTCTTCGGAATTACGTCAGTTGCTATGTGTTTGATTTAAGGAACCGGAAATAGATGAGCCATTTTTTTGTTATTTTTTTTTCAAGGCCTTGCGACGTCTTAACGATGACTAAGGTACACTTCCTGCTTAGGGTGTCAACACTTGTAAGATACGGGGAGGAGGCGTCTATAGGATGGGGAAGGGGCGTCTGTAGGACGGGAGGGGGCGTCTGTAGGACGGGAGGGGGCGTCTGTAGGACGGGAGGGGGCGTATGTAGGACTGGGGAGGGGGCGTCAGTAGGGATGGGGAGGGTGCGTCTGTAGGACTGGGGAGGGGGCGTCTGTAGGACCGGAAGGAGGCGTCTGTAAGACGGGAGGGGGCGTCTGTAGGACGGGAGGGGGCGTCTGTAGGACGGGAGGGGGCGTCTGTAGGACTGGGGAGGGGGCGTCTGTAGGACTGGGGAGGAGGCATCTGTATGACGGGATGGGGCCTCTGTAGGACTGGGGAGGGGGCGTCTGTAGGACGGGAGGGGGCGTCTGTAGGACTGGGGAGGGGGCGTCTGTAGGACGGGAGGGGGCGTCTGTAGGACTGGGGAGGGGGGCGTCTGTAGGACGGGAGGGGGCGTCTGTAGGACTGGGGAGGGGGCGTCTGTAGGACTGGGGAGGGTGCGTCTGTAGGACGGGAGGGGGCGTCTGTAGGACTGGGGAGGGGGCATCTGTAGGACTGTGGAGGGGGCGTCTGTATGACTGGGGAGGGGGCGTCTGTAGGACTGGGGAGGGGGCGTCTGTAGGACCGGAAGGAGGCGTCTGTAAGACGGGAAGGGGCGTCTGTAGAACGGGAGGGGGCGTCTGTAGGACTGGGGAGGGTGCGTCTGTAGGACGGGAGGGGGCGTCTGTAGGACTGGGGAGGGGGCGTCTGTAGGACTGGGGAAGGGGCGTCTGTAGGACCGGAAGGGGGCGTCTGTAGGACTGGGGAGGGTGCGTCTGTAGGACGGGAGGGGGCGTCTGTAGGACTGGGGAGGGGCGTCTGTAGGATTGGGGAGGGGGCGTCTGTAGGACTGAGGAGGGGGCGTCTGTAGGACGGGAGGGGGCGTCTGTAGGATTGGGGAGGGGGCGTCTGTAGGACTGGGGAGGGGGCGTCTGTAGGACGGGAGGGGGCGTCTGTAGGATTGGGGAGGGGGCGTCTGTAGGACTGGGGAGGGGGCGTCTGTAGGACTGGGGAGGGGGCGTCTGTAGGACTGGGGAGGGGGCGTCTGTAGGACTGGGGAGGGGGCGTCTGTAGGACTGGGGAGGGGGCGTCTGTAGGACTGGGGAGGGGGCGTCTGTAGGACTGGGGAGGGGGCGTCTGTAGGACTGGGGAGGGGGCGTCTGTAGGACGGGAGGGGGCGTCTGTAGGACGGGAGGGGGCGTCTGTAGGACGGGAGGGGGCGTCTGTAGGATTGGGGAGGGGGGTGAACGGAAAAAAGTCACAGGAAAAAAACCAGAAAAAAGTCACAGTTTTTGCTAGGAAAAAAAGTCACAATGGAAAAATTTTATCGGAAAAAAGTCACAGAAATAAAGTCACAGAAAAAAAGTCACAAAAATATTTTTAGAAATATTTGTGATTTATTAGTTAAAAATTGTAAAATTTTGTATGTTTATTGTTGTGGGTTATATTTTTTGATAGCTTAAATTATTTATAGACGTTAAAAGCATTATGGTTTATATCAATTGTAAGTAAAAATACTCTAAAATAATTTACACAACAATCTCAACTTTTGTTACGGATTTAGTTAAATACGCGGTAGAAAAGTTAATTATAGAAGAAATTTAGGCACATCATTGTGTTTTGCCGTAGGCTGTTCTCTGGTCGACCTCTCCTCAGTAGACCTTGTCCGAACATATTGTGTGTTGGTGACGTTTTGTGTCAATGCAGCCTTTGAACCTTGCCGGTTTTCGGTTTTGATTCTAATGCGCGTTATAAATGTGGGCATTAAAGTTGGTTGAACTAAGCATAACTATTGTTGCGATGAGGGCAGCTGAGTCAGATGAACTTACCATTTCATAGTAAATTAATGTTGCTATTAAAAAAAAATAACGCAATGAAAACCGTGGACTTTGGAGCATTCTATTAATTGTTATTAATATTATATTTAACATAATTACAATCTACAAACTTCATACTAAATATTTTTAGATGAATTATAACAATTACTGTGCTTATACAACCTACACACATCACATTACATTTAATTAATCCTATGTTAATTTGCACTCTCTAAATATTTAATACATAAAAATATCAACGAATTTCATGCAAATAAATATTTGTGACTTTTTTTTCTTGTGACTTTTTCCTGTGACTTTTTTCTGTGTTTTTTTTTTCCTGTGTTTTTTTTTTTCCTGTGACTTTTTTCCTACAATCGGGGAGGGGGCGTCTGTTATACTGGCGAGATGGTGCAACTGGGCTGGGTATGTACGCGTCATGACATTTAGAAGTTAAATAAAGCAGAGGATGTAAGCGTCGTTATGTCTAGTGATGGAGCTACGCCTTTGTCTGGGGCTAGGAGTACCCTGAGATGAAGCGTCAGCATGACTCGGGTGATGCGTCACTTGGAGTGAGGGGGATTCGCCCATTGCGTAGCGGTTGACACGTCATTACTTCTGGTGGTGGATGTTACTATGCGTCTTTGACTATATACGTCATAACGTCTAGGGTGGAGTGCCATTAGGTGTGGGGTGGAAATATCATTATGTCTGTGGTGGAAGTGTCATTATGTCTGGGGGTGGGAGTGTCACTATGTCCTGGGGTGGAAGTGTCATTAGGTGTGGGGGGAGGTGTCATTACGTGTGGGGGTGGAAATGTCATTACGTGTGGGGGTGGAAATGTCATTACGTGTGGGGGTGTAAGTCTCATTACGTGTGGGGGTGGAAATGTCATTACGTGTGGGGGTGAAAGTGTCATTACGTGTGGGGGTGAAAGTGCCATTACGTGTGGGGTGGAATTGTCATTAAGTCTCTGATGGGAGCGGTATCACGTCTATAGATGGACGCGCCCCTAAATTCGATGGTGCACAGTTAAGTACAAGCGAGGATGGACGGCCATTATTCTGAAGGGTGGACACGCTGATAATAGCTGCTGTCTGAGTGGCGACACCAACGTGTGTACACATGAATGTACACACCAGTGTACACACCACTGTGCCCACCCTTGACATTCCTGTAACTGAGCCGTGTTACCGTCGGCTCAAATAAGTTTGAACAGTGTCTATTTTTGGTTTGTTTTGTTTCTATTTTCGTCTGAACGGTCACTTTTTTCATTCATCTTTGATATTTTTTATTTCCTTATTTTTATATATAGAATTTTTAGCGCAATTTCCATTCTGGAGAATTGCGTTTATTAACTCGTCATTTCTGGGAATGGATGGATGGATGAATGTGTGTCCGGGCTTTAAGTCGTATCTCCTCCTCAACGAAGCAATATCGATGACTAGTTCCAAAAGCAATTATGTTAAGCAAGTTACAAGAATGAGCATAGGCCATAAAAATTCCGGGTTTCTTTCATGTATTTCCCGTAAAAGCCAAAAAACCTCGAAAAAATGCAGTTTTTTGCCCATATCTCGGCAACCAGACCACTTAGCGACTTGAAACATGTACCAATCGATTCCTGCCATAATTTAGAACAATATTGCCGAAGAAAGTTTTCAAAAATATCCTCTCGTTCGGTCACAAATTTTAAAATTACATAAACACCTACAAACCGATCGCTCTTCTAGCTTGAACGCACCCCATCATTATACGTCAGAGCTATTTTTAGATAACATAAGGAAATTGCGCATAAATGTCACTAGACTTTTTTAATTAACTTGCGCGCCTACTGAACGTGATGGCGCAGCCATGGAACGCGATGACGCATCTATTGAACGTGATGACGCGTGTGGTGTGGTTGTATATACATGCCGGAAGTAGAGATCTATCATCTTAATGATTATCATGTTGATAATCAAGTTCAACTAACCAATGGTTTTAATGACCCTGCTCTTGATTTCAAGGTGCTGAGTTTAGTTAGTAGTTAGGTTTATTTAATAAAAAACGTTTTAATAACTAACCAATGGTTTTACTAACCCTGCTCTTGATTTACGCTACGACAGAGCTATTTTTAGATAACATAAGGAAATTGCGCTAAAATTGTCACTAGACTTTTTAATTAACTTGTTTTTTTCAGATGTAATAGTTTTGCAAAAAAAAAAAAAAAAAAAAAAAAAGTGTGTATTTGTTCTAAGCAATCAGTCAACAGATTGCTGTTTAAAGAAGACTTCACATTGAAAGTTAGAAGAAATATGAGTCTTATTGAGAAGAAAAGATGACAGAAGATGAGGAGAAGTGACAGACGACTGTCGTGTCAGTTGTGTCAATAGAGTGACATGTCATCCTGTGATACATCTGACAGGTACAAACTTGGCGCCGAGACTAGAAACTTTACTTACATTGTAAAAGGATTTGTTCTGTCTTTTTTTACGTTTCTGTGTTTAAAGACCTTGTTCTAAAACGGGTCAAATTCACAAAGCCCTATTTTCAATTCAAATAGAATTCAGTCAGCTTTTAAAGAGGTCAAGTTTAAAGAAGTTTTAGTTTTAAAGCGTAGAATTTACAAAGCTCTATTTGTTTTAAAACATTTAGAATACATTTAACTGAAAGAGCCCTATTGTTCATGGTGAATTTAAACAGTTTTTTTTTTAAATAAATATATGCGTTTAAATCTAACAATGAAAACTATGCTCTTGATATTTTCTTTATTTCACAATTTTCTCAAGATAAAAAAAATGTCTTAAGGAAATTATGTATCTTCTGTCAGCATTAACTACCAACATTTACCACCCACATTTACCACTTACCACCCACATCTTTTGCCGCCAATAATAGCAAAAATTGCGCTGTAATGTCTGGTTGCATTATTTGATATTTTGGCTTTGATCGGACCAGAGAAACCATTGAAGGGCAACAACTACGGGCAGCTTCCCGGCAGCCAACCACTAAGGCGCACGCAGTTTCAGCCGGCGCGTCAAATATCTCAGGTGCATCCAAAAGCAAACACTCCAAATAAAAAATCCCAACCACTAGATTGACATCCTTGCAGACGACAGGCAGTCTCTTATCTTGGTATTTTTTTTTTATTCTGCACGTGGGAAATTCCTGGGACGGTGTTAAGGAATGTACAAAGACGGGGGTTGTCTTTCAATGGCTTACAGTCGTGATGGGCGTTTCACATCCTTGGACGAAATGAATATTTTATGCAAATTAGGTAATAAATTGTAAAACTTCAAGCTTCGGGTGGAGTGTGAATAAATATTTTTAAATGCCATGCTAAATAAATTAACTTTATTTCGAATGTATGATTAGTTTTATACTTTAACCTATTTTTATAGCGTGAAGAATTTAAAAAATTTTCTTTTAGTTTTGCCTAAACAACAGGCTTTACTTCCTCCAACGATGTATCAGAACATACGCCTATGTATATTGCGCTTAATTTAATTTACAAGGTGTTTTTTTCATTGCGAGTTGTTTATAGAAAACAACTTGAGTATACGTTAACATAAACGGTTATACGTTTATGACGTCACGCGTACGGGAGATGGGAGGCTGAGAAATTGTGACGTAGAATGACCAGTGTGAGTTAATATGACGTCATACATTTAAAGACGTTTGATGTAGACTTGTATGTGGTTGGAGATCGTGCCCTTATTATGATACTCAAAGGGGTGGTGCTTTATAATTTTGTATGGGGTGTTGATATTGGTTTGGATTATTTAACTTTGCACTTAATTTCTTTTTTTCAAATCCTGTTTTAAATAATGAGTGGATGCAGAGTTTCTTTCATGTATCTAGTCGGGGGCGGGAAGAGTGAGGACAGTGTCACTAAAGTAGGTTTGTATTTCTTAAAGTATAGCAAGATTTTGTAATTTTTCTAAGTATATTTTAGTCACTTGTTAGATATCCATTAGAACATATTGAAAAGGCTGGTATAAGGATTACATTAATTATTTTAAATCATGTACTTTACTACCAGGAGTTGTGAAAATATGTATGTACTCTAAACTATGAGATTTCGTACCAACCCCCCCCCCCCCCCCAATGTTATACAACAGTGTCTTTAGACCAACATCTCTCATATTAATCAACAATATCAGCCCACCCCACTCCCTCCCACATACCCACACACACAGCCCACCCCACTCCCTCCCACATACCCACACACATACACACTGAATAATGAACTGCATAAAATTGTGTTTGGAACATTTTATTTATTAAATATCTATTTCTAGTGTTGCTGCTAATAAGATGATTGGTACGAACTTTATAAACGCTGAGGTTACTGCAAGCTTGTTAGAAATAACACAGTCAACATTTGAAAAATTCTAAAAAATTGATTTTTGTACAAAAAAAAAAAAAAGATACACGGGGCAGATGAAGTAGAGTTCATATGTTTCAGTGTCCTCGCCATACGGGAGGATAATGTGGTCAATACAAGGACCAACGCATTTGTTCCCCTAACGCGAGTCAGGTACACATCAAAGCTGAGTGAACTCAGGGACGTCCTACAGTCTAGAGATCTTTCAGACTTTTTTCTCCGGGGGCGCACGTGAAATTTTCGGGGGGGGGGGGGGGGAGACTTTCTTCGGGGGGGGGGGGGGGGGGCGGACACTTAATAGTATATATTTTCTATATAAATTATATAAATTTCATTTCATTTGGGGGAGGGGGTAGAATTTTTTTCGGGGGGGGGGGATGCTTTGCCCCGAAGAGATGCCTGGAAGAAACTCTGGATCCGAACTCAAGACTTTCGTGTTAGAAGTCATAAGGACTACATTGTAACCACACCATTGAACGAAAGTACATTTTCGTTAACAGAAATAAAATTGCACTGACATAAGAGTGCATTATTTTAATTAGTTGTTTGCTTAAATACTACAACTATTCACATCACTAGTGGCTATTTTAAACTCCAATCGGTAGCCCTTACAGTTAAAAATAGACTATTTTTTACTGCATGTTTTACGTCCAACCGTTAGATCCCAGATTAGCATGTGCAGCCGAAGCGCGTCATCGTATTTTCACTTGCAACACTCCGCCAGTTTACTCTCGATCTCGACCCTTCTCGCGAGAACTTAATGTTGAGCAAACAAGAGTTGGCGATGGACCTAAGACTCCGAATTATTTGGTTTTTCCAAGCCAAAAGAACAAAGTTTTTACATAAAAGATTTGTTGGTTATAGTATTTAATGCGCCATGCCAGTTTTTATTTGGAGTTGCAATCAACTTAATTATATTAGGTCTAAACAAACACAGGTACATCAAAAAAGAAAAGTTTTAAATGGATACCTTAATTTTTTTCATTTCGAAGAATCGTGACTACAGTCTAAAACTAAAACCGTCAGTAACAAAAACTTTATAAAGTGCTTTAGTCCTTCTAGAAAAACTTTAAAATATGCTTCATGTTTAATGTGATATAAGTAGATTGGATTCATTTTTAATTAAACTAATTAAGAAAAAATATTACAATTACATAAAACAAATTGAATCCAACAGAAACTAATAGAGCTTTTATATCTGCCAATCAAATGACTGACAACAAAA